GTGAATAATTGCACCCTGTGGAAAGAAGAAAACAAAAAGATTTCGTTCTGCTCTATAATGCTTTCAAACTAATAGACTGGATCAGAGTAAAAAATCATAAAATTAAGTTAGTAAGAAGCAGAACCTTTGGTGACTAGGGCTGTGACAGTTACCATTATCGTTACAGTAACTGTAATTGCTGGTCGGTTACCGTTCTTTGTAACGGTAACGACCAGTTACAAGTAATGGTGACTGTTTAGTATATCTTTCAAGAGTCAAATCTCTTAATATCTAGGTATCCAGGGTGAGGCTACGACCTTTCACCCTCACCCTGGATACCTAGATATTTAGAGATTTGACTCTTGAAAGATATACTAAACAGTTACCATTATTTGTAACTGATCGTTACCGTTACTTGTACGGTAACTGCTTATCCGTTACCGCTACCAGGAACGGTAACTGTTCAGCAGTTACCGTTACCGAGTAATGGTGGTAACGGTAACTGGTAACTGTCACAGCCCTATTGGCGACAAACGTTTGTAGCACTAATTGCCGGACTCAGTCATACTTATTTCATAAATTTGAGCGCTACATTTGTGACGAAATTCTAATCAGTATTCCATGTATAAATGTGCCTCTTGTGTAATGCCGCGTACCTCAGATACAAAGTCTACTTCCTTCAGAGTCAAGTGAGTTACAATCGACAGATTTTCTTCAGCTTTTATGAAATCTTCTACCGAAAAGACTCAAATTCAAGCTTCAGATAAAAAAAAGTCGTTTATATTGACCTTCTTTGGTTTATCTTAGTCAACGCGTTTTCTATTTTGTCGAGATGGAAATACAGCAGCAATATCTTTAGGAAAGTTCTTCTTATTTTGGTTGGCCAAATGATTTGACTTCTGCTCTGATGTAAAGAGTTTTTACGATTATTATTTATACTCTAATGTCATGATGATAATTATATATTTCAACATTGTTTGTTGATAATAATTTCATAAATGAAAAGATTAATTGTATGAGTTCAACAATCATTATCTTAAACTTTTATTTAAAATAGGAGCTTGCGATTACAACCGCAATCATCGTCAGCTACATGTAGATGAAAAATATTCACAGTATATATACGTTCATTTTTCTGTTCTGTTCTCTTCTTTGAATGTAGTAGATATTTCTAAGAATGTTTCTTTCTGTTCTCTTAGAGAAAATGGTGAAAACTTCTACGAAATATGCACACTATTTATGTGCAATTTGCGCTGGTATTGTACTGTTGATATCCGAGCAGTAAAAATGCAATACTTTGCTTCCACTGAACGGATCGTTCTGAATTCTTGCTGTTGAAAGCTTGTTGTTTTTATTGCTCAATCGCATATTTAAAAAATAATTCTTACTAGATTTTTTGGAAAGATTACAAGTCAACGAACGAAGTATGAGAGAACTGCATAAAAGCACCAGCACACACTGGTTTGTACCTCCATTAGGAGAGTTGCCAAGCAAAGAAGTACAAAATTCGTCTTATCAACCGTGCAATGAGAATACCTAGGCGGAAAAGAGTAAGCAAGGAAATCTAGCTTATCAAATAACTCAAACGCTCCCTTAATCGTAGATTTTTTGGATCAAATAGCTAGTTGCGCCGAGCAAGTGCCCACTTCACAGTGGGCCTTCAGGTGGAAATTTAGAAAGAAACAGTGAGCTTGCTTTTTCGTAATTTAAATAGTATTTCATATACTTCGAGTGACGGCCGATTTAATGGCGAAAGAATTTTTATTGTACGACTTTTCCTTCTATAAAACATTTGAAATGCAAAAACACCACGTGAATGCGCTATTTTTTCGGAAAATTTCGATTTTTATTGAAGGATAGTAAATTAGAATAAAATCGAGATCATATTCGGAAAGAAACCAGTCAGACGAATACGAAATAAAAAAGAATTTTGTTTTTCGAGTGAAACTTAAGAGTTTTGGAATGGATTCTTTTGAAAACGGTCTAGGCTGTAAAGGCTCTCTCCGGTATTTTGAGAACGCGCAGCTTACCGCAGCTCTGAACTAACATATTTTTATACCAAAATGTTCCTCGCGGGGCCGTGCATCTATTGTGAATGCGCAAAAGTGCTCATATTTTCCTGAACTGAGATATTTTCCAAAATTCCTCGGTTTTTGAGGTAAACTGACCTTTTCGCACTCAAAAAAAACTGCAAGGATGGTATATAATTCATCTGAATTCGGTCCTTCCGTTCTGAATTCTATAAATTTCTTAGATTTGGGATTCACACGAGGAACTTTCTGCTGAAAATTCAAAATTCAAGAGAGAAACCGTGGACGGTCTGAAAAAACTGCTTCTGTAGGTTATCGACGATGCTCTATCCAATGGAATGGTTTTTCAGTTTAAAACCGTTTTTCACAAATTCGATCTCTGGAAAAACCACTGGAAAACTTTGTCGAAACTGGAAAACTATTCCAGTAGAAAGAGAATCGTCGAAAACCTATAGAAAGTGGTTGAGATAATTTCAGTCCACTTATAAAGTTAATGTCCGCCTGTTCTAGCGAAAAATGTCCACTGTGCGCTTGCTAGCTGCAAGCGGTCGATCCAATGGACACTTAGTTGAGCGATTAGCGCCGAATTCAAATGTATCGGCTAGCTTTGATGAGTTAAAAATTGGGTCAGGTAGCTGCACGAGACAATTTCATGATTTTTTTTCTGCTTGGGTATGTTCATCAACAAAATACGTTGTCGTTGATCATCAACGACAACGTTTCTAAAGTAAGCGATAGTGCAACTTACTTTGGGAGATGCAAGATCAATAATTCTGTTGTAACTACTATCATCTTCTTCTTGTGAATGCATTCTTGTTCTTGCACTAATATTTCCATGCATTAAATCATTTTCCACGCTAGATTTTTCATGAAGTTCATAAAGTACAGCCCAATCTCGAAAAATAGTTTCGTACACTCGTCTTCGAACTAACAAATCTGGTTTCGTGAAATCGTTTGGGATCAAGTATATCTTCATCCAATTCATCCGCTGTTTCAATGAGTTGTTCATATGATTTCCCATAACTGTATTGTTTCATTAAGTTTGAACATAGTTTTATGAATGATGTTAACCACATATAACTTCTTTTCTTCTTTAAATCATTAACAGCAAGTTCAATTAAATGGGCTGGATCCCATGAAAAACATAACCAATCAACATTCATTCCAATTTCATCACATAAATGTTTATCAATGTTTAAGTGAAGATATGCCCCATCCACCGCATCACTAACGAGTTGTTGCTGCAGAGTGAACTGTGACAGTCCGAACGTTTGTAACACTTCAACACAATTTGTTGCTAGTCCTTTTCCAGTTAATTCAGTCAAACATAATGGCGCTTTTAAATATATTGATGTAATTTCTCCATCTATTATCGTTAGTATCATTGAAATTTGAACCGATCGTCGAAGAAATGTTGCTTTGTCAACTGTAATAGCAAAAGCTGGCCGGTGTTTTGTTATGGGATTAGGTGTTTCTAAATATTGTGTAACCCAACTTATAATAATATCTGCCATCACCGTACGTATTCTATCAAAAAACCACTTGCTATGCCTACAGTGAAGACAACCATCTCATCACATAAAGAAAAACAGTTTATCAAATCAATTACTAACCGATAAGTACCAAGGGCGCACCACATAAGTCCATCAGATTTAAACTCTCTTCAAATTTTAAGCCACCTAATCCACTTCTAATACAAAATAATGCACACCTTCCAACGTTCATTCCAGCAATACGGTTCTTTTTCAAAAAATCTTCAAAATATTGCTTTCTGTTTAGTTGTTCTTCGCTGCACCAAATATGTAGCTTGCTTTCTAGATGTGTTTTTAGATGACTTTTGAAATTACGAAATTCACGTGACATCGGCTGATCTCGCAATTGTTTGACAAAAGCAAAATGTCCAAATGAAGCCTTAACATCCCGGATTATACTTGATGGTGCTTCATTTTTGAAAGTTGAACACATTTCACACAGAATAAGTCCAAGATCAATACGTATTCGAAGACATTTGATTAAACATAAATCATCCGATGTTTTTACGCGTTCTAACTATTTGTCAACGACCGTTTCATTCGTATTAGAGAGAGGAGGTGATTGTGATATTGACGAAGCACCAGAATGAGAATTTTCCATCTGATGTGTTATCTTGTTTAATTGCTTTTGTATATCAATTAACTGTGAATGCATATTAGAGAGAGTTGTTGAAAAACATGTGTACGAAGCTGGCACAAGCGGTGAATTGAGCATAGAAAAATTACTATTGGTTGACTGCGTGCTACTGGGAGTTCTTGATTGATCATCAAGAACTGTGCCATCATCAACATTAGATGGAAGAATATTCGGCGTATTTGTGAAAAGTGGAGAAACTGTGGTTGCTGTGTGATATTGTGTTGAAAAAAAAGCTGTCAAAGTATTTGCTGCCGGTTTAAACTTCGGCGCTTGGTTTGCATGTTTACTTTGAAAATGATCTTTAGACTTATCTTTACGTCCAGTCCACGCACAATAGAAACAACTAACGTTCTCTTTACTAGGAAACATTTTGAAGAAAATAGAAGATTTATTTTCATACGAACACTTATGAGGCAGTGCACGATAGAGACGAACGAAGTTGCTCAATGAACTGTCACAGATTTTTCTCAAATTATCAGAGCAGATAGAGAAATGTGTCCTGAACATTTTTGTCTCTTGACA